ATAAAACTAGGCAAAGTCTCATGGATATTACATTATGACGTTTTAAAACTATGTATGGTCGTAGGTCTTTTAGATATTCTGGGGCACTTTTGTGGAATAAGTTACCTCTGGACATTAAAGGTATTTCGAATATGGTTAGTTTTAGTTTGAAAGCTAAAAGTTTGTTCTTAAGTAGGTTGTTTTGTTGATGAATTTGTATTACGTACGTGGTTATTTGTGACTGTAAATTTTTGTAGATGTGTAATTGTATTGTAATTTTTGTATTTATAATGCAGTGCCAGTGTACCTGTTACCGGGAGTGAAGTTTGTGCTTTACATCAAGGACCACAATGGAAATAAGTTTTGTTTTAAACTTTGTGTTATCCTTGACGAATAGAGTGTATTCACTACTTTATTTTGTCAAAATAAACAAACAAACAAACAAATACCAAACCTGTATTCATTTCTTTCTTGTGCTGAACACAAAAGAAGATATTTTGAAGAATGTGGGCAAACAAACAGTTCCTCACTGACTTTGATATTAGGGGGGAAAATACTCTGGAAGTCACTGGGAGCCAGCAACTGTTTGGTTACCCACATTCTTGAAAATAACTTTTATGTTCAATAGAAGAAAGAAACTTATTCAGGTTGAAAACAGACACATTTTTCATTTTTGGGTGAACTATCTCTTTAATGTTAATAAAACAACAAAACAAAGAGTAAAAATCCCTCACTGCTCTTGATTGAAGAACTTTAATACAGTTGCTTTAATAAGAATCAATGCATAATTTATATGTATTTATAATAATTATTTCAAGAGGTGTTAAATTTGGGGACTGAATGACAAGAATTGAGATAGGCCTACAGTTTTATGATTAAACTTCAAAAGGCTATGATTTCATTGAATAAACATGAGCACTGCACTTTTAGGTCAGGTGTTGTGCTGCTTACCTTACTGCCGTTACCAGGGAAACTGCTACATTTCTGCCATCCGGAGAGCGCCACCTGCTGGCATAGAAAGTATTTGCATTTTTCAATAAGCACTTCTGCTATTTTTGTTTAGACCAGGGTGTCAAAGCCCGGAGCCCTGCAGAGTTTTGTTCCAACCATGCTCCAACACACATCCGATGTAGTTTTCAAATAAGGACTTGATTAGTTGGATCAGGTGTGTTTATTTAGGGTTGAATCTAAACTTTGCAGGTCTCCGGCCCTCCAGGACTTAAACAAAAGCGAAAATTGACCCTTATTTTTATGCAGAAAACAAGAAGCTAATGCATTACGAAAACCTAAACAATTAAGACACTAAGATATATTTATGTTACTAAAATTATATAATTGATTGATAACTGTTTAACTTAATATAATAATTGATACTTTTGACTCATCCCTTTTCTTAAAAATGGTTTAAAGTCTGAAATGTGAAGTTTATCATTTTATAAATCATTTTGTTTTTGTGAAACCCCTCATCTGAACTGTAAATCATGTAATTTTAAGGTTTAATTTTTTATTATACCTTATTAAACCTTATTAATACCCCTCACCCCCACCCCTGCTCAGAGGTCTCCCGGCTTTTGGTGCCTAAATGTTGACAGGTATGTGCCCACCCCTACTTTGACAACTATCTTACACCAAACCCAACAACTGTCGGCAAAAAAAGACTGGGTAAGACTTTTCAACATACAAAAGCAGATCTTATATATAGTGTGTATAAAGGACTTGATTAGTTGGATCAGGTGTGTTTATTTAGGGTTGAATCTAAACTTTGCAGGTCTCCGGCCCTCCAGGACTTAAACAAAAGCGAAAATTGACCCTTATTTTTATGCAGAAAACAAGAAGCTAATGCATTACGAAAACCTAAACAATTAAGACACTAAGATATATTTATATTACTAAAATTATATAATTGATTGATAACTGTTTAAATTAATATAATAATTGATACTTTTGACTCATCCCTTTTCTTAAAAATGGTTTAAAGTCTGAAATGTGAAGTTTATCATTTTATAAATCATTTTGTTTTTGTGAAACCCCTCATCTGAACTGTAAATCATGTAATTTTAAGGTTTAATTTTTTATTATACCTTATTAAACCTTATTAATACCCCTCACCCCCACCCCTGCTCAGAGGTCTCCCGGCTTTTGGTGCCTAAATGTTGACAGGTATGTGCCCACCCCTACTTTGACAACTATCTTACACCAAACCCAACAACTGTCGGCAAAAAAAGACTGGGTAAGACTTTTCAACATACAAAAGCAGATCTTATATATAGTGTGTATATATAGAGAGAGAGTTATAGAGTTATATATAATGGAGTTGTCATCAACCTAATCAAGAGATTTTTATAACAAGTTTTTGTTCCCCCACAGGCAAAAATCTTGTTTTGTGGCTCAATTAATTATACACATTAATGATGGCAGGGCTCATTTCTTAAATTATGTTCTTGAACAGCAATGAAAAACATTATACTTTTCAAAAGTCTGGTGTCAGTAAGATTCTTTTTTGAAAGAAACTAATATTTTTATTCCGCAATGATGCGTTAAAAAGGTCTAAAGTGGTTTAAAGTTCTAAAGACATTTATAATGTTACAAAACTTTCTATGTCAAATACATGCAAACAACAAAAAAAATCCTTACCAACTACATTAGCGTCGATAGCCTTGTGGGTGGTGTGCCGACCTATAGCACTATTGTGCTATGGGCTTCCCGAGTTCGAATCCTGGCTTGAGGACCTTTCCCGATCCCACATCTCTCCCACTTTGCTACCTGTCAGCTCTATGCTGTCCTATCATAATAAAGCCAAAAAGAAAATTCTTACTAACCCCAAACTTTTGAATGGAAGAGTAAATACTTTAGCAACAAAAGAAAACTATATTTAGTTGTAGATAATGTTCATCTACAGAGTTATATCCAGTCACCTGATCCCTATCCCTTCTGTCAACTTGTTTCACACATATCATCATATGAAGTGGCATTCTGTCCGCATACTATTTTCATCCCTGAACATTTGAGAGAATACTTCACTGTTTTATGACAGTTTGTAAGATTTTGTATCTAATAATAGTCCCCCTGTCTATGTTTGACCATATCCAGCTTTCTGACGTCATATTTCCATCCAGTTTAACGTCGACTTGTCATAGCCACACATATCGTGCCTTGAGGGCCGGGTGGAGTATGATGGTCGTCACAGTGGTACTGAATGTCCAACCACACTAACACAAATGTCTGAGGTCAAGTGTCTCTTACCAAACACATGCAGCAAGACATGTTGAATTCAAACACAAAGGGATAAAAGAAAAAGCAGATCGTATTTGCCCCATCAAACATCAAATTCCAATGATTGTTGGCTTTTGTCAGATCAATGTGTTCACCCTGAGTGAACTGAGTCTTAAAAAACAGAAACAGTGTACACAGTGTTCAACTTAAGTGTTCACTGTGACTCAAAAATATCCAGTTTTCACTATCTTCCTATTTCATACTTCACAAACATTCTATATGTTGTCAGCATAGTGTTAACATAGGTCATATACATAGTTCTCCTATTCTCTTTTAATACAATCCTCCTCAATATTTAATATAATGCAATATATAATTCATTGAATGCAACCAATGCAAGACATGAAAAAACAACATGAATATAATATAATATAATATAATATATGAATATATACTTTTTTTCTAACCACCATTTAATATTACAATGCAAGAAAAATGCATATATTTTGTTTACTATATATATTTACTTTTATGTATGGCATTTGCCAGTCTTTGGAATTATTCCAATGCATCACTGAACACTTACATGGCTGAATTAATTAAAAACTCCAAAGACAACTCAGTCCATCTCTGTCAACTATTTTTTCCTTACAATGACTATTTAAAGTGCACGACTCACTGGCGTTTTGGGTTATGTTGGATGTCAGAAGGCAAGCATGCTAGTCACCCAATGTTAATCTGATGGGTCAGATGACGGTACAGATGAGAGAGAGGGTTAAAGAGGTAAGAACGCAAAATTAAAGTGTGTAGCCTTCAGGGACTTCGGTGGAGGGAAGCGGCATTAGTCACCATCTGATAGAAGGAACGGACACAATGGACTATGACAATCACGCCATCATCACACACGCACACTTTCATGCCCGCCCCCTTCGTTCTTCCCTTCTCTTTAATGGCCAGATTCGTCCCTCAGCACCTAAACTCTGGGCACTTTAAATAGCAGTCCGACCCCTTGCTTTTCCACAACCTCTCCTCTCCTCTCAGTATGTCCAGGAGCCTGAAGCAAGGTATTTCTATGAACTGACAGAGGCTCTGATTCAAGGAGACCAGCTAGCTTTTGAAGCCCATGTGGCTGTCTACAGTTAGAAATCAGAAACTCTTTTTCAATCTGTGGATGTACTCTCCTGCTTTTCTCTGAGGAACTTAGATTTTCTCTAACCCTCTGCTCCTCTACTCTCTGTCTCTATTTCTTTCTCTCTTTGGGTTCGTTTCTGCCTGCAGTGGCTGTGCTGCTTGTGGCACTTCTGTGCCTGGATCTTCACAGCCGGGTCGGCTCTGCACCCATCTGCGCACATGGGCCATCAGGATGCCACGTCCCGTCCCTGGCAGATCTCTTCGACAGGGTCATTCAGCACTCTGCCAGAATGCACAGCCTCTCCAACGATCTGCACTCAGAGTTTGTGAGTCACATCTTTCTCTTCTTACTAATTGTTCTAATGCAACTGTCTTTGTAAAGTGAGGAGGCTGTAAAATGTTGTGCAGATGCTACAGTATCATATCCAAATTTTGTAATGCAAGAATGAATTGTAGGCAAAATGATCATGTATATCAAAATGCACAGTATATGAATTGCTCATTTGTATAACTATTACTTAAAGTTATTATCTAAATTAAATAATCTACTTATCTAAAAAAGGGGGAAAAAAACAACTTACTACATACACAAAAAATAGCATAAATTGCATAAACTGACTGAAATATTTTTTTCTTGTTAATACAGATAAAATCATCTCTTTTCGCTAATATCAACTAATTGTTCTAATGCAACTGTCTTTGTAAAGTGAGGAGGCTGTAAAATGTTGTGCAGATGCTACAGTATCATATCCAAATTTTGTAATGCAAGAATGAATTTTAGGCAAAATGATCATGTATATCAAAATGCACAGTATATGAATTGCTCATTTGTATAACTATTACTTAAAGTTATTATCTAAATTAAATAATCTACTTATCTAAAAAAGGGGGAAAAAAACAACTTACTACATACACAAAAAATAGCATAAATTGCATAAACTGACTGAAATATTTTTTTCTTTATAATACAGATAAAATCATCTCTTATTGCTAATATCATGTATGACTTTTTAGATAATAATTTAGATATTTATCATAATAGAATGTATAGCAACAAAATTAACCATTTTTGTTAATATCAAGTATTAATTAAAATGATAAACATTTAGATATTTAAAGATGCATAATAAAAATGCATAAAAGCATAACAGCGAAATTAACTCTTTTTGTTAATATAAAGTAGGAGTTTAAATAATAATAGACATTTTTTTAAATATTTTAAAAGTGCATCTGATCATTTTGAGATATTTTATAGTGCATAATAAAATGTATAACAACAAAATGTACTCTTTTTAACATCTAGTGTGAATTTAAATAATATTAGTCTTTTTAGATATTTAAAATGCATAATGAAAACTCAAAATTAACTACTTTTGCTAATATAAAGTTTGAATTTAAATAATAATGGACATTTTAAATATTTTAAAAGTGCATACAATCAATATTATTAATTATATACCATTAAAAGTTGACTAAAGTGATAAATAATGATTGTATTCTAACATTTAAATATAACTATATTTATATAAAATTGTACAATTAATAAACTAAACAACTATCTGCAAACTGAATGTGGCTTCAGGTTTTTTCCCCTCATCTTCTCTCCTTTTCTTTTTGTCTAAAGGAACAGTATTTCCTGCCCAGCAAAAACCATATTGGAAAGATCTACCGCAAGTGTCACACCTCCAGCATACTGACTCCAAACGGCAAAGAGAATGCACAGAAACTAGCTGTGAGTATAGCATTCTAATCAGCCAACATCCCCTTCCTAAAAAAACGTCCCCATTCGGATTGCAGGTTCAGCTCTAAGGTGCATTCATCACGTTGAGCATGTATGATTCTGCTGCCATTGCTTGTCATTAATGGACTGTGTTCTCTGATCCCACTGCTGTCTTATCACCTCTGTGCCCTTGAGCAAAGCACTTAACTGCAGCCCGTCCCAAGAGAACTGTCCCATCAATTAATGCACTTAATGTCACATCTGCTAAATTAAGTAACCCAGCAACCATCTCCTCAAACTCTCCAGTCTCATTAGTATATTATATATAGTTTCAGACGAATCAACACCTGTAGAAATGAGACTTCAAATACTGTTCTTGTCATAACTGTGGCTTTTAACTCTTTAAATTCTTGTGTGTCAGCGTGAAGAGTTAACGGAGGTGATTCTTAAACTGCTGATGGCCTGGAGGGACCCCCTGTTCCAACTGCACCAGAGCATGGCTCACCAGCAGGACTTCAACAGCTTCAGCAGTAACAAAGCCCTGGAGATGGGGGACATGGCCCATGAGCTGAGGAAAGGGGTGGAGAAAGTAGCTGAGAGGGTGAGTCACATCAAAGCAGGGAATAAGAAAAGGTGTGAGACACCTGTGTGATTGTATTTATGAGTATGTTGTGTCATAAGTTACTGCAGGCACTTTCCACAAGATCTTTGGTTTTCATACTATTCTAAGAATTAGAGTTGTTTTCTGTTGTGAGTATTAGATATGTTGGATCAACTATCATTGAACATAACATTAGAAATATTAGTGAAGAGTAGTTGGTTTTAAACACATTTTATCTTTCTATCCTCACTTACAATAATAATTTTAGCTTGTGTGTATACACCGATATACATATATATATACAGTATAAATTTTATTTTAGTATTATAATATTTCATTTTTTATAGGTAGGTTCGTTAGAATTTATTTTAATTGCTTTAGCATCTCTGTTAGATAAGTATTAGGTTTAAAGTGCAGTATTTTATCTCAATTTTGTAATGCAAATGTGCATTTTCTGCATATGTTTCATATAAATATAATAAAGTATGATAAAATAAATATGATCAAATTGCAAAATCCATGTTATGTGACTTGCAAATTATGACTATTACCAGAATCTAAGTGGAGAGAAAAGTGCATTTTTCAAAATATGTACATGTATAGTTAGCTAACCAATAACAAAACCAACATTTGGCCTCAAACTAATGGTTCCTACTAAGTGATATTTTTTATGACAAATTAATCAAATATTACAATTAATCAAACATTGGAACAGGGTTGAAAAAAGTAAAAATAAATAAAATATTCAGACCTGGTGTGGTTGACAAACAATTTGTGAACTTTGTGTTCCCTATTTGTGGAAAATGTCTGAAACGCTGTGATTCATTCATTGTTTCTCTCTTGTCCTCCTCAGATGAGAGTACTGGGAATGCTTGGCAACTCTGTGACAGGTCTGTCTGTGGCAGAAGCCATGCTTCCTATATCGGACAGCGGAGAGGCCATGAGCAACTATGAGCTCCTGTACTGCTTTCGCCGTGATTCTAACAAAGTCCAGAACTATCTAAAGATTCTGAAGTGCAGAATCGTACCCGAGCATGACTGTTAGAGAAAAAAAAACATGGGCCTTTCACCTGCACTAATGGACAGCACAATGGACACATGCTGCTCCCCACTTATCAAGCATGTTTGACTCTGCACTATCCGTTAAGACTTCACCAGATCCCAGTAAATAAACCTGACTTTTTGCATCGCTTCATACTCTAGTACTCCAAACCAATTCATTGCTATAACTATCCAAAAAGTACATAGTATGAGAGGGAGAAATTGTTTCGCCTCTAACAGGAAATTACCTTTAAAGTCAATTCATTCTTTAAAATATTTTTCTATGTACCAAGTGCTTACTATTTATAATTCCACAAGTTAAACTCCTCTTAATCATATTTTCATTTTATGTTTTCAAATTTGATCAGTGGCAAAACTAATTTTCGCTGAATGAACTGAGCTGCCAAAACGAAATGACAATAAAACTGTAGATTCTTCAGCACAGACACAATGTTTACTGTATTTATTAAAGAATTTGAATGAAACATATAAAAATGGTATTGCAACCACACTTCCCACCACACAACACTGGAGCTTGAAAATAATTCTGTAATATTCCTTTAATATATATATATATATATATATATATATAGTCTTTTAGTTTTATGATCGTATATGCATGAAACTTTTGGCAGATTTATAGATTTTCTCTTCGGGGATAAAAAGTATGTATAAATCTTGGACATTTTGCCATATAAAATGCTTTCTAATATTATCTGCAACCGACTATAGGAGCAAGTAGCAAATTATGGTTTGTGGCTGTGACGTGACTCGAGCCTGTTGGCCATCTATAAAAATATCTTTTTGATTTGCCCTGCCCACATTTCAACAGGAAATATGTCACCACAGGAAAGAAAACGGCATTTGACAAGCCATGTCATGTGGAATTTAAAAGTGAGATTGCTGACGTATATAAATGATATAAGAGTGATGTAAGAAATCATTTTAAATCTAAGAATAGAAAAATGTAGATCAGCATATCTGGATATTGCTGTGTGTCTGGAGGGTGTGTGAGTATGTTTGGTCAGTGAGGTAGGCCTTTGTGTGTATTGCACAATGCTCATCCATTCATCTACATGACAGACTGCTCAGGTCTCACCAGTCTCTGTAACTTAGTGACTCTAAGGGCAAAGCAACATTTCCTTTTAAGTGTGAGGCCACTTCCATACAGTAACACTAGAATAATGATGCTGCTATACAGTATGACATGATTTTGCACTGATAATTTTGATGATTTGATATCTAGCATAATTTGAAAATATAATGATTTACTTTGTTACTCTCATATAAATTTCAATTAAAATATGAAATCGCACCCAAATTTTAACAATAGTTGAGGTTACATTGCTTGACAAATTCCACTGGGGTGTAATGTGTGTATATATATTTATATATTTATAATATAATTTATTAATTTTATTTAGCATCAATGCATTCAACTGATCAAAAGTAACAGTAAGACAAAGATGCTGTTATGAATTTTCTATTCATCAGGAAAGAATTACAGTTTGAAATACATTGAAATATGAAATATATCACATTTGTACTTTACATTTATGAAATATATTTACATTCATATATATTCAAAAATATTCAAAACAGTTAATTGTAAAACATATTTCACTATATTACTGTTTTTTTGTATGTATTTTGATCAAATAAAACAAAATGTATAATATAATAATAATACATATATTATTTATTTATTTATTTTTCTACAAAACTAATATTTCAAACACTCTTGACCATTTTTCAGAATTAGAAACATTCATTCAAGTACAGTATATCCAAATTTTTAACCTTTAGTAGGAAATCTGATAGTCACTACAATAGATTGCATTCCCATTCATAGCACTGTCAGAGATAATATATGGATATACTGTATATTTGCTATTATGCAATTTACACTAATATGCAACTCAATACTTTGGCTTTCATGTCACATCTAATAAAATGATGCATCTTCAGACTGCCTGACTGTGTGGATAGTGTGTATGACACAAACCCTATAGACAAACCACTAATCTAGGATGATGGAAATGGAAATATAAAGGAAAATCAAGAATGTCATAGTAATGTACAACACGTGCCATGCCACAGGCAAAACAGTAAGCACCAGTCACAGTACATTCAGAAACCATGATTATTCATTTCCTGTACACCACAAGGATTGAATCATGCAGATCTGACTGATGTAATATGAGCTAATGACCCCCAAGGTCTTCTAGCGATCAAATCAAGACCTTTCACTAACCTTTTTAGGGTAGAAGAGATATTGCATACTTGTCATCTGACTGTCAATCCCAGAATGCTCAGCTCTCAGATTGACTCTGGTTGGTAACATCAGCTGCACATCAGCCATCATATCTCATTTTAGGGGCTGACCATCAAAACCTAGTCCAGCATACCAGAGGACAATGATCCACTTCTGTGGCAGACTAAAGACCATGTAAGCATTTACTATATAAAAAAGCTTTTTCAGGTCTGATATTTATCTTTAATGCACTTATTGTTTATTACATTAGTGACAAATCAAATTCCCTGAAAATCTATGGCTATTATACTCTAATTATTGCTAACCCATATAGTACAGTATGCAAATACTATTGCATGCTTAGAATATCAAGATGACTTATTTGTTAACATGCAAAACAATCCTTGAGCTAAACTTGACCTTCCATTTGCAGTATAATGGATGAAGGACATAATATCATGTGATGAGGTCATGTGACAAATATAGTAAGGTCACATAACAACAAATGCTACAGTTTGAAACGTTTAGCGTGCAATGTCTTCAGTTCCACTTACTATTTTTAATTAATAGGGCAGCATCCAGTATATACATAGCCTGCACTGCATAATAACTATTTTGTGGAAAATGTCTCACAGGAGTCTTGAGATCAAGTTGAACGGTTGCATACTAAACGCTTTGCCAAATTTGAGTATCCTGGCTATGCACAATACACTCACTTCAGAAACACACATTCTGAACACAACCTATTTTAGTGCCTCCATATGGTGGCAGTACATCCAAATGATCCCAGTATATGACCGCCGAAGAAATATCGTGCTGTTGCTAGAGAGCGCTACTGAGCCATATTTTGCTCACTGTGCGTAATGTTTGCTACTGTCCTGAGAGCTACCAAAGTTTAGGATCGCAACACAAACAAACACAAGCAGTGGACTACAGAAGAACAACCCGACATTAAGGATATTATGCAATTGCTAGTGGATTTCAAGGAGATACAAACCAGAGATTCTTCATTAGAAAAAACATTACTGCAATGCAATGCAATGCATTAAACCTAGTCAATATCAGCATTAGTACACAAAAGATATACACAAAGAGCTTACTTACATAGAGATAAAAATAGTACAATGTTCTTAGAGTTCATTAATGAATTGTTTGTTTGTTTGTTTTTTATGTATGTAGGCTATTTATTTACGCAATAAATCCATTATTTGTTTATTTTTTTTAATCCATGTGCTTTTATTTTATTGAAGCTTACATAACATTTTGTAGAAAAAATGCAAATAATATTTGTTTATTTTTTTTTCACTTCACCTTATTTTCTGTTGTCTGTTTTTGTACTTCAGCGCTTAAATACTTAAAGTAGCCTACCTAAATACTTTTATGTCAATCATATCAAGCTTTTTTAATACTGAGATGAGCAATACTGTTGCTCATTACTCAGTTCAGTCATATTTTTAATTATTGTTATATTGTAATTATTTTGTTGAACTATGAATTGCTGCAAAACACATATTACATGCAACTGGAAATGCTTTAGTTCCTAGAAATGTACAGTTACTAGTCATGCCAATAAAGCACATTAAATTGAAGAATAATTAAGAGAGAGTGATGAAGGGAAAGCACTGACCAAACCTAATAAAATACAATTAAGTGTTCTCCATGACGCTATTATGCCATTATTCCATTAGGAGAGAGAGAGAGAAAGATTTATTATTTTTTATTTATTTATTTATAATAGTTTTTATTTTATATATATATATATATATATACACACACACATACATGTATATATATATATAAAATACATATCTGTTTTAGATTCAATGTAAACACTATGCTTTGGTTTACTCTGTTACTCTGGAGAAAAGGGAAGAGGAGGGGAGGAGGAACCCGCGCCGGTAGTGGGATGGACGGGTAAAGCATGGAGTCCGCTGGCGCATATTTGAGCTGCCAGAGGCGAGACGAGCACTTCACCGATGAATGAGTGACGGGGTCGCTCTTCTTAGACGCCCCGTACAAATCCCAGACCCCATTCATCAGCTTTAATATCGCCTAAACACCGAGTGTGGGATATTTGTGACTTTCTATAACGGCTGAGCGCCGATCTTAAGATTTATCGAGCATCTGTGCACATCGCTGAGGAAACCATGGAGACGGAATCATCCCAGTTAGGGAATAACGAAGCGAATGAAAGTGAGCCTCTACCGGTGGACTATCCCGGAGGAGAGATGCCAGCCTCTCTCGGTGTACGGAGAGGGTCCAGCGTGAAGAAACATCACCACAAACACAACCTGAAGCACCGCTACGAGCTGTTCGAGACGCTCGGGAAAGGAACATATGGAAAAGTGAAGAAAGCCATAGAGAGGCACACTGGACGAGTGGTGAGTTTACCAACATGAAATGACTCAAAGATAGCTCTTTCAAACCTCAAGAGATCTTATTAAGTTCTAAGATAGGTATCAACTTCGTTTCAGATGTTTCTCCTACTCTAAAATTCTTTGAGATAAACAGACATGAACATACAGAGCTATAAAATGAGTTTTGCATCTTGTCAAATTGAAGTCTTGAAAATGTGGTCTTTTCCCCATCACTCTTAGAAATAAAGGTTCCAAATGGGGGTTTTCACAGTGATGCCACAGAAGAACCTTTTTTTTATTATGAAGAACATGTTAATAAGAACCTTTTCACTATTAAGAACCTTTTGTGAAATGGACAGGTTTCATGGATGTTAAAGGTTCTTCATGGAACCATCAACATCAACAGAGAACCTTAATTTTTAAGAGTGATCATGGAGAAGCAGAAAACTATTCGTCTCATTGTCCTATGGGATTGAACAGAGATATTAGAGAGATCTCATTTGTGATTATCCTTTCATATGGGAGATATTGTGTGTGTTTCACTTGCTATCAATTGACATAATTAAACATTCCTTTGAAACATTGGTGAAAGTTAATGCGCCCATAATGACCATCATTACATGCACCATTTCACAGGGCAAGTGCTGTCTTCCGTTCCTCAGTGACAGGGGTCAGCTCATTTAGGTCATATAGGAGTTGAGCAGGTCAAAGGTTTCAAAGCACGATAGGTATGTTTATGTTGCAAGTAACCTAAGCTCCCTTACGTATTACTCTGGATTCACCACCATCGCTAAGAAATGCATGACATCTGTAGAGCAAGT